TCCCTAAACACAGCGGGGAGCCATTTTAATTACCCGGCGGCCATTTTGAAACCGCTGATCAGCTGTTAAAAAAATCGTTTTGCGAAGAATCGGTTCCTGATGCAGGATACCAAACATCACTAAGTGAAAAAAAACCTATTTAGACACTGTAAGCCATGACTAGGGGATGTGTGACCCTCCTAGACACCCTCTGCCTGTGACCCCCATTTGCTGTTTCCAACATAATCAAGGATGATAGATGGAAGGAGCTGTAATTCATAATGCCATCTGGAAGGCCAGCTCTTACACACTCCCACTTTAGGCACTTCACATGTAGCCTAGACATCAGTAAGTGGGTTTACAATAGGGAGAAAACAGAGGTTAGCAGACAGCATTATGCTTTGAGCAGAGAAAGGTTCCAGGTTCAATGGCATTTAAAAGAATGGTACAGCTGGTGATATAAATGTCTTCTTCCAGAGAGGTTTGAGTGCAGCTGCACCTCAAAGTAAATAATACTGTGCTAGTTAGAGAAACAGACTGGCTGGATATAAGGCAGTTTAATATATATTCCATTGGATGGCATACAAAGAACTAAGCAATGGACTCTGTGAAAAGAGTTTGTTTGTTGGGCCCCACCCTGCATTTAAAATATAGCAGGGGTAAACAACAGCCACGAAATTAAATGACGCCTGCTTCTTGGGAGGAAAGCGATGACAAACCTAAAAAGCATCTTAAAAAGCAGAGACATCACCTTGCTGACAAAGGTCAGCATGGTCAAAGCTATGGTTTTTCCATCAGCAATATATGGAAGGGAGAGCTGGACCATAAAGAAGGCTGACCGCCGAAGAGTTGATGCTTTTGAATTGTGGTGCTGGAGGAGACTCTTGAGAGTCCCCTGGACTGCAAAGAGAACAAACCTATCCATTCTAAAGGAAATCAACCCTGAGTGCACACTGGAAGGACAGATCCTGAAGCTGAGGCTCCAATACTCTGACCATCTCATGAGAAGAGAAGACTGTCTGGAAAAGACCCTAATGTTGGGAAAGTGTGAAGGCAAGAGAAGAATGGGATGACAGAGGACGAGATGGTTAGACAGTGTCATAGAAGCTACCAACAGGAATTTCACCCAATTCCGGGAGGCAGTGGAAGACAGGAGGGCCTGGTGTGGTCTGGTCCATGGGATCATGAAGAGTTGGACACGACTTAACGACTAAACAACAATAGGCTAAAAAATTTGTGCACAATATTGAATTGGAGAAATGGCAGAAATTGTGGAATAGATATTGTGAAATAATAATGGTGACTTTGTATAAAGAAAATATTTATGAAATGTTTTATAGATAGCACTTACCACCTGCAGGAATTGCAAAAATGTTTCCAAATATGTCTATATGTATGGAAGTGCAAACAAAAAGTAGGTATATGTATGGTGGACATGTGAAAAAGCAAAAAAATTGGACTAAGAACAAACATAGTTGGTTTAAATGCTTTTAAAATATTTTAAACCAGAACTGTTTTGATTAGGTATTTTACCAGAGGGTTTTGATAAACAATTGATTTACCTAACACTGCATGTTGTGACAGCAGCTAGGATTGTATTTGCACGACATTGGAACAATCAAGAAATACCAAAGGAAGAAGAGATAATTAAGATTATAGATTGTGCAGAAATGGATAGAATCACACTGAGACTAAGAGAGAAATAAGATTCAGAATACTGTACTTTAATATGTGGAATTTGTTCTACAAATGGCTAGAAGGTTGGAGAAGATCACCAAGATGTGAAAATAGATCATTATAAGCAAACCCATGTAACACAATGTTTAACAAGCATGAATTGAATATAGATACTGTACAGTGGTGCCTCGCTTAACGAGCGCCCTGTTGAGCGATTAAATCGCTTAACGAGGGGCTCTGGGCCATCGCTGGAGCATTTGCTCAGCAATGGCCCCTATGGCGTTTTTTCGCTTTGCGATATTCGCTAAGCGATTCGCTTAGCGAATATCGCATAACGAAGCGGGGGAGAACAGCTGATCGGCGGTTCCAAAATGGAAGGAGGGCGCGAAAATGGCGGCGCTATGGAGGAAGATCACTTAACGGTGAGTTTTAAAGCCATAGGAACGCATTGAACAAAGTTCAATGCGTGTCTATGGCTTTTTTGTTTCCGTTTAGCGATGTTTCACTATAGCGAAGGTTAATCTGGAACGGATTAACCTCGCTATGCGAGGCACCACTGTATAGTGAAAAACTAATGAAATGTTTTTTGTATAGTGAGGAGGAATTAAAGAACCTTGTAATGAGGGTGAAAGGCTCCATGATCACTGCAGATGGAGTCAGCAGCCCTGAAATTAAAAGGCGCCTTCTTCTTGGGAGGAAAGCGATGACAAATCTTGACCGCATCTTGAAAAGCAGAGACATCACCTTGCCAACAAAAGTCCGAATAGTCAAAGCTATGGTTTTTCCTGTCGTGATGTATGGAAGTGAGAGCTGGACCATAAAGAAAGCAGACTGCCGAAGAATTGATGCCTTTGAATTGTGGTTCTGGAGGAGACTCTTGAGAATCCCCTGGACTGCAAGGAGAACAAACCTATCCATTCTAAAGGAAATCAACCCTGAGTGCTCACTGGAAGGACAGATCCTGAAGCTGAGGCTCCAGTACTTTGGCCATCTCATGAGAAGAGAAGACTCCTTGGAAAAAACCTTGATGTTAGGAAAGTGCGACAGCAAGAGGAGAAGGGGACGACCGAGGATGAGATGGCTGGACAGTGTCTGTGAAGCAACCAACATGAATTTGACACAACTCTGGGAGGCAGTGGAAGATAGGAGGGCCTGGCGTGCTCTGGTCCATGGGGTCACAAAGAGTCGGACACGACTAAACGACTAAACGAACGAACGATAAAAAAGATAAAATAATAGTTAAAATGTTGCTATTATGGTTTCCAAGCAGTTAACTTGGCACAACTCTAGAACAAACATCTGAGTTGAAATGCTTCCCATCAAGAAGAAAAGTGTTCCATTGATTTCTGCCAGAAAAAATGTTTTAGCAGAGGCCTTATGGTAAAATAAAATGTGTAAATTGTCAGACTGAAGTGGTTGTTAATCTTTTCAAGGCTGCTGGAGGATTCTGAATGCAGTTATTTTGCAGAGTCTGTGCAGAATTATAAAGCAGACATAATATCCTACATATATAATATGTAGACATAATATCCTACATATATTCAGTCGATCTGATCTTATGTTCAGTTACAGGCAGGTACCACTTATTTGCTGTACTTATTTTCCCATCAAATGTGCACAGAACTGTATCCTTAGTAATGTACAGATGATCTTCATCTCAATTCAAGCAGCCATCCAAATCAAAGTAGCATGCCAGCTTCCAAAGAAGCAGTTTTTGGAGGCTTTTTACCCTGAAGCCATGTCACAGTAGACTTCATGCTCCAAAATGTCCAGGTTTGCCTGCCCACTATAAGGTAGTTCCATGATTTCTTTCACAACAATAACAAGCTCTGTGACATTAGAAGCAATATTCCTACTTTGGTCTTCAGAGTACAGAAACATCAATAATATTTAGAATATCTTGACATTATAGGAAGAAAAAGCAATAAAGTATATAGAATTCCATTCTTACTCACATAACATGCTGACCTTGGGCTTGATTTCTCTAATGTATCAGTGGCCAGGGCAGGGTCCTTTTTCAGCCAGATATACGCATCAGGAAGCCATATATATATGGCTAATTTAATACTGAAATATAACCTAATACAAGCACTTTGCTTGGGATTTGTAAAAACAATGCAAGGAAGAAAAGCTCATCCCTGGCTCTTAAGAGCTGTCAACTGGGTTAAGAATCAACCCAGAAGAAAGAATTCATAATTCTCAATTATTTGGAGCCACCCAGCACATAAAAATGTTGTCAGTTGTTGACTTTATAAGGTTTTCTCACTAATTAAACACATCCTACAGGTGATATATTTGAAAACAAATTTGTAAAAAAGCCTATTTCCAGTTCAGTTTCCACTTAATGGCAATTCTGCAAAGGTTTCACTAAAGAGCAGGAACAGGAGTACAGGGAATAAAAGAGGCCGGACACAGAATGGGACAGGCTTTTTCTAAATACACTAACCTCATAGGCAGCCCCAAGATCCTGAAACTTTTCCTGTGCACGTGGATCATCAGGGTTCCGATCCGGATGAAGCTGCAGGGCCAATTTTCGGTAGGCCTTTTTAATATCTTTAACTGATGCACTGCGAGGCACCCCCAATATCTTGTAGAAGTCTCTCCTGAAAAACAATGAAGTCCACTGCTTGTCATATTCCTTCTCCTTCAATATCAGCCTATCTTCCAGCCACATGCTGTGGTTAGATTCCACTACAACCAAGAGAGAAAGCTCTGCAAATACTGTATTCCAGGTATAGTATACACTTGCTTATAAGGAAGCATCAGAACTTGCAGACACATAGTATGTGAAAGCAGATACTGCTTATAAATCTGCCTTCATAAGCTGCATACTTGGACACAGACATGAAGGGCACTAAAAGCCACATGCAAAGGGAACAGCCATCTCCTTTGAGATGTTCTGATCAGATTCTGATCAGACCCAACAGGACCCAACAATGTGCCATTGTACAAAATGCTGATAAGGCCGCATCTGGAGTATTGCATACTATTCTGGTCGCCCCACCTCAAAAGACATAGTGGAACTGGAAAAGGTGCAGAAGAGAATGACTAAAATGATGACTAGGCTAGGGCACCTGCCTTATGAGGAAAGGCTACAGCATTTAGGGCTCTTTAGTCTAGAACAAAGGCACCTAAGGGGGAGGGACATGATTGAGACATAAAATTATGCAGGGGGTGGATAAAGTGGATAGAGAAGCTCTTTTCCCTCTCACACAATACTAGAACCAGGAGACATCCACTCAAATTGAGTGTTGGGAGAGTGAGAACAGACAAAAGGAAATATTTCTTTACCCAGCATGTTGTTAGTCTGTAGAACTCCTTGCTACAGGATGTGTTGATGGCATCTGGCCTAAATGCCTTTAAAAGGGGATTGGACAGATTTCAGGAGAAAAAGTCCATCGCAGGTTACAAGCCATGATAGGGATGTATAATCTCCAGGGTTAAAATGAAGGTACTGTACTTCAAAATGTCAGGTGCAGGGGAGGGGTATTAGGAGATAAGTATCTAGTTGTCTCATATGTTCTCAGAGGCATGTGTTGGGGCCACTGTGAAATACAGGAAGCTGGACTAGATGGGCCCTTGGCCTGATCCAGCAGAGTTCTTCTTATGTTCTTAGGGACTTGCTGTCTTTGCCTAGAGTGAGAATTACACAAAACAGAACATTCCATAACTGGGATGCCACCAGCAGGCAGCCTATTCCCACAGTATCCAATACATCCACTGTATCTCTGCTGACAGGAAGTTCAGAGAAAGAACTCTCATGATGGCTTTAATAAATACTAAGGCCTATGTAGAGACAGGGGATCTTTTGCACATCCAGTTTACAAACCACAGGAGATCAAAGCACTTTGGATTGTGCCTCGAAATCTGTGCATCTGATGAAGCACCAGCATGAGCTGATTATTACAATTCCTCATCCTTAAAAATTCTGGAGACCTCATTCTGAATTAGTGGCAGCTACAGAAGCATCCCTTTGTATACAGTGGTGCCTCGCTAGGCAGTTAACCCGCATGGCTGGTTTTTTTTTTTTTTTGCTAGACATTGACTTTTTGTGATCGCTATAGCGATTCGCAAAACAGTGATTCCTATGGAGGAATTTCGCTAGACAATGTTTGGTCCCTGCTTCGCAAACCAATTTTCGCTAGACAATGATTTTGACAGCTCCCTCCGTGCTTGCAAAACGGGTGTTTTCGGGACCTAAGCTTCGCGAGACAGCTATTTAAACAGCTGATTGGCGGTTCGCAAAGCGGATTTCCTATGGCCGATCTTCGCTAGACGACGATTCTTCCTCACTGGAATGCATTAAACAGGTTTCAATGCATTCCAATAGGGAAATGCGTTTTGCTAGACGATGATTTCGCTAAACAGCGATTTCAGTGGAACGGATTGTCATCCTCTAGCGAGGCACCAGTGTAAATGTATCACAAGAAATCTAATCTGAAAGTTGCCATAGCTTTGGTCACTGAAAACAGGGTCTCTCTGTTCAGGTAGGGTCTCAGCTGACACACTAATAATAAAATGCCACAATGAAGTGCTGTAGTTCTACTAAACAAAACAAGAACAAACAAAATAAAAACACTTCAGCATCTTCCTCAAAGGAAAAAATTCAAAACGTGAACTTTTCATCACACCTTGCAAAAACATAACACGACTTTCCTATTCAGGTGTTCCATACCACATTTATACACCACCTTTTCTTCAAGGGGGATAGATTCAGTATACAAACACTGACTGCTCCACGGTCTCTCAGAACGCACAAGGGCTGCACAGGGATTTGAATGCGGGTTCCTTCAGCTTCAAAGCAACACTCGGCCCATTACATCACGCCAGCCTACAACACTACATTTAACGGAATTCCCCCACCCACATAAGCAAGCAATACAAAAAGCACAAGGAAACCAACGATCCTCGTCCTGGTCACTCAGGAAACACAGGTGGCAAAGAAAGGGGTGGCCATGAATGAGACTCGGGGCAAAGGGAAACTGAGCGGTGACAACGGCAACCAAGGCAGTGGTGGTGGAGGAGAAGGAGGAAAGGGCGGCATGCACGCCGCGGGGGAAAGAGGAGCTATGGTTGTGTGGAGTCAGAAACTGAGGGAAGACCCGTTGGGCAAAAGAGGAGGGAGCAGAGCAAAAATCTGGCTCCAAGGGGCCCTTCCGTAGCTGGAGGCGGGGGGGGGAGTC